TCTTTCTTTCTTTCTTTCTTTCTTTCTTTCTTTCTTTCTTTCTTTCTTCCTTTCTTTTCGAAAGGTAGCCCAGGTTGCCCTCAAACTCACTGAGTAGGCACGTATGACCTGGAACTTCTGATGCCCTGCTTCCACCCGCCCCAGGCATCACAATTATAAACATGCATCACTATACCTGACAGCTCTGGGTCTTCTGGTCGGTTCTTAATGAAACATGGTTTTGGCTCACATTGTGGCACAATCAGAACAAGGTGGTATGATGTTGAAGCTTGATTATGGACCCTTGTCTTCTCTCCTTAAAGGGATGCTGCTATTCCACAGAATCTAGTGAGTTACTTTAAAAATGATACTTAGAGAATAAAGGTAATTCTTTACTTCTAAATACCAAAGAATGTATTTTCTTATTTTCTGTATGTTTGTGGTGTATGTGGTTGTATGAATGTGTTCACATGTGTGAGTGGGTGCACGTGTGTGGTTTCATGAATGTCAGAAGAGAATGTCCTGCTCTGTCACTTTCTGCCTTACCACTTGAGACAGGGTCTCACTCTGGCCCAAGAAATAGTCTGGGTCATCAGGAAACCCCAATGATCCTCCTGTCTTTGCCCCACTACAGTTTGGAGGTTCCAGATTTGAATCCACATAAGTCCTCATTCTCAGGCAGTAAACTCTAACCCACGAAGTCTCATCTATTCAGACTTCAGAATTACTATGTGTATTTTGTGTGTGTGTGTGTGTGTGTGTGTGTGTGTGTGTGTTTACCATATGTGTGGAGGCACATACGTGTAATGCCATGGTGCCCATCTGAAGGTCAGAGGTTAACTTTGTAGACTCAGTTCTCTCCTTCAACCTTTAAATCGGTTCTGAATATCAAAGAATATCAAAGTTGGATCAACAGGCTTGCTTAGCAAGCACTTTCACCTGCTAAGAGTCATCTCACTGGCCCCCAAGGGAGTTTGTTTGTATGTTTGTTTGGGTTTTTTTACTTCTTATTCATTATTTGTGTATGGTGGTGGTAGTGTTTTATGCCTATACATGCCTCTGTGTGTGTGTGTGTGTGTGTGTGTGTGTGTGAGAGAGAGAGAGAGAGAGAGAGAGAGAGAGAGAGAGAGAGAAAGTAAAAGAGAGAGAATGAGAGAGAAAGCAAAGGGGGGAGACAGAGAGAGAGAGAGAGAGAGAGAGAGAGAGAGAGGGAGAGAGAGAGACACATGAACCTTGGCTCATTTGTGGAGATCAGAGAAAAGCTTTCAGTGTCCGTTTTATTGTTTATAAGCTTGTTGTGATCATGGGGTTGAACCAGCCGCTGCATTAATACATTTCTTTCATTATTTAAACTGTTTTTTTTTGCATTTTTGGTTGTTATTGTTTGTTGGGTTTTGTTTTGTTTCTTGCTTTTGTTTTTGTTTATTTTTGAGGCAGGGTCTCACTATGTAGTACTGGCTGTCCCAAAACTCACTATGTAGCACAGGCTGGCCTCAAACTCACAGAGTAAGTCCCTCCCAAGTACTGATATTAAAGGCATAAAGGTGTGCCATCACACCCAGGTAAATGAGTCTTTATTTTTAATGACATAGTCTCTCTACATACGACTTTCTAGCATAGATGTAGACCAGGCTGCTTTTGACCTCACAGAGATCCACCTGCTTCTGCCTTGTGAGTGCTGAGGTTAAAGGCTTGTGCCCCCACACCTGGCACATTATTTACACTCCTAAATAAACTTTGCTTTCAACTTTAATTTTAGCATTAATAGTTTGTTCTATAATACTTTTTCAAGAGATTTATTTGTAATTATGTTTTTGCATGTGTTTGTGTGTTGGTATATGAAAGCAGGTACCCAAGGAGAGCAAATTATGGCATTAGATCCCCCTTGGAGTGGAGTTACAGGGCTAGTTTTAAGTATTCAATCCTGGGTGCTAGAACCAAACTCTGATCCTCTTAAGAACAACAAGCACTCTTAGCTGCTAAGCTACCTCTTCATCTGCCTCCCTGGTCAGAGTTGGTTTTAGCTTATTTTATTTGTATACTATCATGTTCTAAACCAATGCTTAAAATTCTCCCCCTTGCCCTTACAAGCATCATTTTGAAAATGGTAAGAAAGGCTTCTAACCCTTTCTATGTTTGTGCCACTGGACTCTGTTCTATCTCCTCTTTTCCCTCACAATTTATTATTTGTTTATTTAACAGGTTCTCACTATGTAGCTCTGGCTGGCCTGGAACTCACTCTGTAGACCAGGAGAGTCTTAAACTCACAGAAATCCACCTTCCTCTGCATCCTGAGTGCTGGGATTGAAAGTGTGTTGCCTCTCTTTTTGTTTCTTTTTTGTTCTTTCTTTTTTATTTTTAATTTGAGACAGGGTCTCACTAGCTTGTCCAGGTTGGCCTTGAATTCATTCTGTAACCCATTCAGTCCTTGAACTTGCCTTCCTCCTGCCTCAGCCTCCCAGGTAGCTGGAATTACAGACAAGCCCTAGCAGGCATAGCTACTATATTCTGTTTCTGCTTTTTAGTATGTGTGCTCATTTCTCTCATTTTCCATGAACTTTCCAGAGATTGACTTATTCATGTAATTTGAGAAAGAACAAGATCATGGATCTAGTTTTTGATTCTGTTCTGATTCCTGATTTATTAGCAGTTTATAATTTGTTAAGCCCTTATGTCTATGGCCATTATATGCTTCCTGTCTTATTTTTCTAATTCTTGAATTGGTTAATGGGCTGATTGTATAGTATAATAATACTATCCAAATAAAATAAACTAAAAACTACTCCTAAAGGGAAGGTGGGTGAAGAGGTAGCGTAGTAGTTAAGAGTGTTTTATTTTTAGTACACATGGGGGGACCCATGGCCC